CCAAGAACTGAAATGCCTTTTCTTTATCGGGCAGATCTCACGAGCCGGGGAGAAAAGCGATGCCTAATCTTAGGGGAAGACGCTCAACTTGTGTGTTTCTTCCTACGCCTCGCGCAGACGGACCCGTTTCTGTTGTCTCCTAACAACAGTCTGCAGGGGCTCGAGGCTGAGGAAAAAGCAGCCTCAAATCCTGGGGAGGCTTCTTCACAATCTGACAGAAGTGGAAACCTAATTGTAGCTCAGTCCATGTGGTCTATGGTTATCTCTTCCCCTCCCTTGCCAGACTGTGGCTGTAGCAGAGCACAGCCCGCTGTGGGTACGGTGTCCCTGTAAACGCAAGAAGCGGGGCTGTCGGCTGGGGTTTTGGTTGTTGTCCCTACAACCATGGCTTTTCAGTTCCTCTGAGCTCCGCAAAGATGAATTTCTCCATTTCCAGCCCTTGCAGTGACTGGGGCTTCCCTCCTCCCTGCATCCGGAGGCTGCTGCCGGGGACTTGTCTTCTCCCCGGCGTTATTAGCATGCCCAGGGCATGGGATGCGGTTGCCATGGCAATGTGATGATTTCGGCTGGCAGCACCAGCAGATAGTACGGGAGCTCCTGGGCCATGACTGAGCTGTAAATGCAGCTCTGGCTGGCGGTGCACGCAACTTAAAAATTGCATTTGCCCTTCACGGGAGCCATATGTCTCGCTGTGTGACTTCCCTGCCAGCCTGGGGCTGTGGGCAGCCCTCCATCCCTGTGCTCTTCAGGGGATGGGGCTGTTAAAATTAGGGATCTCTGCAAAAGCTGGTGCTGAGCAGCAGGAAGAAGCCTCTGGATTTGCAAAGACCCCAGGGAGTGGCGATGGCACTTGGCTGCACTCGTAGGACGGGGATGTAGCTCTGGTTCCCATCCTCGCAGCAGGTCTCAGGCTGGTCTGCGTAGCCTGTTGCCTTCCAGACCCGATCCGCAGATGGAGAATTAGTGATCTGGGAGGGCATTTAGGCTTTTAGCTGTTTGTATTTAAAAAGTGGCTTTGTTTCCTTTGACCTCGGTATGAGTCAGGCGGTGACTTCCAAGAAACTCAGGAAAGGGCTCCAGGATGCGAGCGGTAACTCGGGTAAAACAAGAGACAAGTCTCAGGACTGTCCTCTCGTGCCCCTCTAAGCTGAGGTAGTGCACTTCTAGGATTAGCACTGTTGTTAATTAAGCCTCAGCTCCTCCAGCAGCTGCCTAATGGCACCTGGGTTTGGACCAGAAAAAATGCCCATCTCCTGCTGATGCTGTTGGCTCCTGACTCTGCCCAGCAGATACCAGACCATGATGTGCCCCCCTCTTGGGAAGGGGAAGGAGTCGTCCCCAGGAGCGGCCGAGGTGCAGCACCCCTTGAGCAAGGGCTGTTAAATGCGGCTGCCGTGGTCCCTGGAGCTTATGGGCTGCTAAGAAGGGTTTTGTCATCTTTGCAACAACATAAGGGCCTGCTTCCCTCCATGCTGTCTCTTTGAGGTATGACTGCATTAACCCAGAGACTAGCGGGATTGCAGCAGCCTTTACGTGGGCAATCTTTGCTAACCAGAGGCCGAGCTGGGCCGATGGAATTTAGACGGAGCCCCTCCTTTGCCAGCCCCCCCTGGCTGTTCATCTCTGCTGGCAGCAGACAGCAGCTGCTGGGGATTTGGTCCCAAGGTGTCTTACGCTGGTTTGCCGCTTCTAAAATCTCACTCGCCGGTGCAGCTCCGCAGCAGGGGCACTTGCCGAGCTTTTGCTGAAGCGTGGGTCGGGCTAGCACCCACCCAGACGTCCACGCTCTGGTGGCACCAGCCGGTGGGAGAGCAGAAACCGTGGCCAAAATGTCCAGAGCATCTAAATAAACAGCAAACGCCTGCCCAGGTCTGCAGTGTGACATCCACCCGGTGGAGCGCAGGACCCTCCTGGAGAATCGGATTTTATCATTATTGGAATCTTAATGCGGGAATTTCTCTGCAGCAAGCTGCAGGCAGTAGCTCGGTGAAATATCTGCCTTAATATTGTATCCCAGTGCGGAGCCCTGACGTACCAGTGCCTGAAGGTAGTGGGGAAGGGAGCCTGAACACACGGTGTTATATCCCCTCTAATCAGATCAATCTAACCAGGGATTAAACTCTGTCCTTCAAGCAGTTGGTGATCTGTTGTTTTGTCTGAAAACTGATTCTTGTCCTTTTCCATCTTACTGGTGGAAGTTTAAGGGGGCTGTGGAGGGTTAATTTAGGTTTGGTTGGTGTGGGCGCAGCTTTGTGCTCTGTGTTCCCCTGCACCCTGGTGAAGGATGGGGGCTGGCTGGGGTCTCATGGCCGATACCCATCAGACGCTCGTGGGATGGCTGTCTTCGTGTGGGCTGGGGATGGGCAGAGTATTTCCCAACCCTGGTGTTGACTCCCACCTCCCCCAGAGCAGCAGGCACTCGGGATGGTGCCGGTGGGCCATGGCAGCAGGTGATGTCCAGCAGGACAAGACCTGGAGCAGGGACCTGGTGTGGGGGTGGTTTTTTTGGGGGGTGGGGAGCTGGCTGGAGGTGAGGTTCCTCTGCCATGCTGTGCACCATGGACATGGGAGCAGGCAGCGAGCTGCTGCTTGCTGAGTTGTCTTTCCCCTTTCTGCAAACCACATCTGCATTATTTGGTTGCTGTGTGTAAGGGGTGGGGGGGAGAGGGATGTCTTTTATTTTTTTCAGTGAGGCTGAGGCAGCTATTTTTATTCTTGAGTTTCCTGCATTGCTGCTTTATGGAGGTATGTGCTGCCCTTGCAGGTCTGTGGTTGCCTGTCTGTCGCTGTCCTGCTCTGACAGCGCTGCTCCACGGCGGCAGCTCTCAAGCAGACTCCTCCACACGCAGCTGGCTTGCTTTCTGCTCATTCGACCACACTTTTAATTAGCCTTGGGCAGAGGTGCTAATGCTGATTCCATAAATAGATAATTGCTAATGCCCGAGCACACAAGCTCCCAAAACAGAGCCCAGGGGCTTCTTAAGACCCACAAAGCCCCATTTCATGTGGTCTGGGAAGGGGCAGGAGCTCCAGCTGCCCCATGGTTTGCTGTGTAGCCCTCAGGAGAGCTTGGTTCAGTTGGGCTACAGGGATGTGGGAACTGGAGGCTGCACAGCCTGAGTTACGGCCCTGGAACTGGGCTCAGCGTTGTGCTCAAAGCCTTCCGATCCCAAAGAGCGAGTGGGAGACACCTCCCCGTTGTCCTCTGCGAGGAGCTGCGGTCTGTTTTCAGTGGGCTGCTCAGCCCCGGTCACCTTTTCCAAGAGCTACTACAGTGAGAGGACAGCCAGCTTGCCTGGCTTTGCAAGAGAATTTATCCGAGTTCTTGCATGTATTTGAAAGCGAAACCGAGCTGCAGCGTGACGTGCTGCCCTGCTGCCACACACGTTCAGCATGAACCAGGGCTGATGCTGCACTAAGCAGTAACTTTCCTAAAATCCCGTGAGCTGTCCCCGCCACGCAATGTGGGAGTCCTGCTTTAACTCTATCAGAGCAACCTCTGACCCTTTCAAAAGCCAGTTTTCCCCTTCTCGCTCTCTGTCTGCATTCCGACCCTGAAGTGCTGCTGTGGGATGTCTTCGGTTTCTTTGCCATCTGTCCAGTGTCAGATTTCCTCTCTGGGTATTTCCTGGGGAGCGTTGTGCACGGAGGGCTTTGCTTCCACGAGCAGCCTGGAAATGAAACGTTCCTCTTGCAGACGGTTTCCTCCGCACCGCTTGTAATGCTCCAGATACAGCGAGGGTGGCTGCCAGGACTGGATCTGGCTGTGGGTGAGAGCATCCTCTGAGACGCAGGACCTAAAGGACCAGCCCTGGCTGGTAAAGCATCGTGGTGTCGGGACTGACCCTGCCGCGTCTTGGCAGCGCGAGGGACCAGCCGTAACTGCCGTCGGGGTCTGGTCAAGCCCAGCCGGAGGTGTTTGCGCACTGAACCTCCCCTGGTACGGCAGCGATTTGCCTCTTGCTGTTTTCCCTGTCTCCTGGAGCTGGGAACGGCCACGTGAAGTTCATCTGTCTGCTTGGACAGGGCTTGTAGCCACCTCCAGCTTTAGGATTAGATATTTATTTTCTCCAAATAGCTGAATTCTTCTAGCCATTAATTTATGTTGTCTATAGCAAAGGCTGTGTGCGCTTCCAGAAGCTGCTGTATGGCACTTCAGAACAATAGCAGCTGGCTCGTAGCCACAGCATGACGGAGGTCTCCTGCTTTACCCTCCCATTCCGGGCACCTCCTAAGGATTCACTGACTGTGTTGAACTGGTGCAGATAACTGGTGCAGCCCGTGGCCCAAGATGGGAATGGTTATGTTGACACGGTTTACGCTCGGGTCGTGATATTCTGTAGCACCAGGAAACGGTAACGTGAGGTTTGTGCGGCTGAAACTTCAGTAAAATAAGCAAGTGAAACCACCCTGCTCCCCTCTGACTCTTCACAGCTGAAACGGTGAAAGGGGCATGATCAGTGTAAAGCAGAGCGTTAGCAGCATTTGTAGGGACTAATGTTACCCTGAGGACTGTTTAATGAAAAATTGAAGGCCTCCATGAAGATGTGTTAAGGTCTCTCCAGAAATCAGAGGCACAAACCTGGAATGGCTTTAACCCCTGGGAAAAAATCCTCC